AGGAATGTTTGAACCTAAGTCTGACAGTGGATGGCAAATTGTCTAGATATTTTCATCTAATCTTTGACAAATTACGTCTTCCCTCTACATCCCATCTTCAGCTTACAGCGTGATTTCCATTGTGATAGTGTCCACCTGGGACGAACTTTAAGAGCTAACAGTTCAGTGGACCTTCTTCATTTCACTCTGTCTCTCTCCGACGACTTTCACTACACCACAAAATCAAGATTTACTGAGCTCTCACGAGGTCCATAGTCCCGAAGAATGGGAGCCCTGTTAGAATTTCAATAGCGGTTTATATCTTGCAAGCCATCGTTTTTATACTTTCCAAGGATACCGCTGTGACTAGGCAAATTTAATATGGAAAAAGCTTGTTGATACGACTAATGCGGTCTAAAGCGACTAAAGCTCTAAGCTCACAGTCAGCAAGTTCTGAGCCTTTACAGCAGCTCTGCTATCGAAGTGGATGCACACCTTCCTAAAAGCAGCCACTCTTGGGAGAAGCCCAGCTGCTGCTACCTTGATGGTTGCCATTTGCCATTTCTGCCTGAAAGCCATTATAGTGGGCTGGCTGTCGACAGAAAACTACCCCTCCAGCATTTCCCTCGAACTTCGATCTAATTATGAAAAAGCTCACTAGGCATTCCCCTTCGCGGCACTGTGTTATAAGGGTACAGTCAAAGTAAGCGGGGAGTCGGAATATCTCTCTTGGCACTCTTAATTTGTCCAGCTTCCTGGAGTCTGTAAGCAACCTTATCAGCAATGCAGCTGCATGAATTTGATAAGCTCACCCTAATATACACATATTGTATATTTATGTATGTGAATTATGTTTGTTTATGTTTGTACTTGTCGCTGTGCGAATGGACATTTCATATTTATGGCCATAAATATTAACTGTACAGAAAACAACGCAGCAGATATTTTGCGCCAGCAGCCGTCATATGGAAACAATTTGCTTGTTTTGCCCAGCGAACGGCAATAAATTGCCAATACACATGTCTATAGATGCGTGTGTGCGGCAAACAAGCCCTTCCCTGAGTCGTCGGTCGGTGCTGGGTCTCATAGGCATACACGAGCGCGCATGCATTTGCGAATATTCGCGATGTTCAAGACCTTGTAGTTATATAAACACATATTCTCCCATATATGTACTTGTTGGTAGTCAAGTTAGTCGATACAGTTACACCTAGAGCTATGTTTTCAATTTCAGCTACAAATATGCTGTCATTAGGGGATTCACAAATTTGATTTGATTTTTTATAACGGCTGCCAAACGATGCATTCCATAAATATCGATATATAATCAGTTGCTACATATATATTGATATGTGTAGCCACCTTTACTTGTGTATAGCAATATACAATAATACAGCAATATCGCGCCCACCTTCCTTTTAGAACGTTTTTCTTTCTAATAAATTAAAAAATAACTATTGACTAATGTTTTCCGTCAATAGCAAACGGACTTTAATACAATGTTCATATTATGATAGCTAACATTTTTTCCGTTTTGAAATTGTTTGCGCAATCAAAAATATAAATTACAAGCACAAGGTGGCTGGCGAAAAGTTCGTGTCGCTTCAATGACTCCTTTCAATTTGACGCTTTCTACCTTAGTTGGTTGCTCCTAGCAGAAATATTATAAGTGTATATAGTGTTGAAGAAATGTATATAGTGTTGAAGAAATTAGCGATATTATATATATATTTTAATGAAGATCACTCATAGCGATATACTATTCATTTCTTCACTTTTTTTTTTTTTTGTACTATTGTTACTCATACAACATGACACACCCAAAATACCCTAATATAGTTTTGCAATGTTACTCATACGACATGTACAACTCAAAAGAATTTCGAGCAAAAAGTTATTTTTCGTTCTTCTTATAACTGTTACAAATATTAGAAAGGATTTTAAACTTCTGATCTTAAAATTATATAAAATCAGCTGTTTTAGGAATACAACTTTTTTAATGTCTATATAATTGAAACATATGATTTGCCCAAATTTATATAAATTCTAAGTCAAAATTACTTAGAAGCTTGCTTCCTTCTTAATCGTCCGACAAATGTAATGCAACTCCAACAAACCCAATGCTATGGTGTAGGACTCACTTCTCATATGGGAAACCATTAACTTTCGCATATCTGAATTATAAAGCTTTTGAGTGTATTCTATATGTATAGTGCATTACTGAAAAAATTTTTTAAATTTACTAATAAATATTATCAAAAAATTTCAACAGTCCTCTCTACATGACTCGTAGTTAAGACGGAGAGAAGGAGGTGACCGGCGACCTCATTAAGAATAACTTCAAGCAACTTTCATATTAGACTTGTATGGGCGCCCGGTCAAAGCGTAATCGCCTAAAACTGCAAAGCCGATGAGCTTACTAGGGAAGACACTCTTTCTTCATTTACAACCAATTTAAAGCCAGCCGATACTCCAAAAGCTCAACAAGCGCTACTCAACAACCGGAACTTGTGCAACTGCGGGATCATTCTAGACCCGAGTGAATTGTTACTAGTCCTCCCAACTACTGGTTCTTAGAAAAGTCAATCTCGCCGCAATGTTAAGTGTTGTCAATAGACACTGTCCAATAGATTCAAATGCAGTGCGACTACATATTTCATTGGACGCTCTTGTAACTTCCTCCTCTATTACCTTGCTTTTACGATACTGAGATGGACATATCTTGGTAAACACGACATTGATTATTAACCGCCTCAACTAATGGATAGATATTGCCAGAGCATATCACCTCACTTAGTCAACAAAACATACTCACAAATCAAGACAATTCAAAGTCGAATGTAGTAGTGCGCATTTCCCGAAAACATGTAAGGAAGACTGTTGTCGAACATAAGCCATCTCGCCTAGTCGCCAAGCGCACACTGCTCCAAATGACAGCAGAAAAATATGACACAGTAATAAAGTCAAGTAATCTCTTCCCAAAGTATGAAGAAGCTGAGTGGTGAAATACCAGTGTCTCTTCTCCCACGGGATAACTTTATCAAAAGGGGTAACTTTACTAGGAAGTTTAAATTTGCCCCCAGTAGTAAGGCCAAGTGGGACAATTCCGAGTACAATTAAGTGGTTCACCGACAGCTCGAAAACGTCGGAAGGTATTGGTGCACGAGTCGCAGGACCACGCACAAAACCTCCAAATACCTATGGGCAGTTTTCTGAGCATATTGCACGCGGAGATCTTTGCTATAAGTCGGTGTGTAGAGTTAAACCTCCAACGCAACTGTCGCAATGAACGTAGCTATACAAAGCGACAGTCAAGCGGCACTCAAGACGTTCTCCGCGTACGAAATCAAAGCGCTATTGGAGAAGTGTATAGAACGACTGAATAGTCCATCAGATTATAAAATAATGCACCTTATTGGATGCCTGTATAGCCGGAATGAACTGGTTGATGAGCTTGCGCGCTCCGCAGCATTCACCAACATAGAAAGACCGGAACCTTTCATTGCGGTTGGTCCCCACACCATGAAAGTGCTGCTCCGCAAGGATGAAGCAGTAGGTAGAGAGAAGCATTGGCAACAACTCCTATGCTTGCCCTATGCCAAGTTGCTAATAGGTGGTTACAACCTTAAAAGATTTAGGTATGTAGTCAACCTCCCAAAGGAAAACCTGAGGCTACTCGTCGCCTTCTACACTGGCCATTGTAAGCTCATGAAGCACTTATTCAACATGGATCTAGCTTCTTGTGCGAATTTCTGCTTCTGCAACTTGTAGTCTGAAACACCAAAATTTACTGAACAGCAGTCCGTAGACGCAGGATAAAGGCCCTTGGACCCATGTTTCCAATTAGGCATCACATCGGCCCAATAGCACTTAGCAGTAGCTTGGAATTTATCAATTTGCTGAGTTAAGTTGAGATGTTGTGTGGCGGTGCATTCCTCATTTACTTATCTAATCTAGTCTAAAGTGCTACGTAGTAAAAAATTCGCAGATTCCAAAAAATGTCATTATGCAAATATTATTAAAAAGTTATTTTCTGGTGACTTAATAATGTATAATTTTACAAAATAATTTTCTCCTGAGTAGGCCAGTGTATTTTTGGAACTTGCTAATATTAGTACGCTACTCAATACTCACCACTTTGTTTTCGAAAACAATTTTTTTTTTTTAATATTTACAGTTATGAGTCTATTTACAGCTTACCTTTACCCAATTATGCCGAAACCAGTTTTGTTATATTTATTAACGGCTCAATCATATGTACAGCCATGTAAATATTAGATATATTCTGTATATTGTATATATGTTATTATATGCCTTAAATGTATGTATATATGTACATATGTATGCATATCAGCTATGCCCACGGTTATGCCTTAAATTAATTTTCCAGCAAAAGCATATTTACAAGTTTGAAAATAAACGAAAATAACTTCAATACAAACAACTTTATTCATATAAAAATAAAATCGTTTTCGTTTTTTTTTTATGAAACTATACAAAGTTATATATTTTATTAAGTAGCTATATATATTTTAGAATATATAATACAAATATTAGTTGCGGTAAAACTTTGTAGAATTCAATACAAGCATACATGTTAGTAATTGTTGTTTTATTTTATTTTTTTTCAAAAACCATAAAAGCCACTAAATAATGCATTTAAAAAATTGTAGTTTTCGTAAATGCCTTTTTGAGATTTTATCATATTCGATATATATATATATATGTATATGTTGTATATAAGTACACACATATAGAAATACAAATTTTTCACATATGTGTCAGCAAATATAGTCAAAGGTAATGTAATGTAGATATGTTTAAGTATATCGAAAAAATATTGAAATTTTTATAGAACAAAGCAACGAAGAAAATCAAATTAGTTTCAGAATTTTACACTTGCCGAAAAGATTAGTTGTTTGAAAATAGTAAAAACAAAATGAAAATATGCAAAACTTTACAATGTTATTGCATTAATAGATTTATTTGCGTTAATTGCAAAGTTGCTCCAGCGCTTAATATTTTACCTCGGGATCGTCGATGTTGTGTTTGATCTCATTCTCATAAGAGTTCTTCTCCAACGGTTCGCGACGTTCATCCGATTCGCTCTCGTCATCCTGTTTGTTCGGTGCGGATGTTACAGGATTTCCAGCCTTGGCGTCCGGTGTCTCGGCAACGTCTTCGCCCGACTCGAGCGGACGAATGTTGACCAAACGCACCTTGAAGAGATTATCACCATCTCCATAAACGGTTTCATTTACTTCGACCTTATGACCATCGACAACCTAAATTAGCGGTAGAAGCGTTAGTTGCAAATTAAAGAGATATGCTTGTGTAATTAACGGTACCTTCACAGTTGAAGTTGTGTTGCCTTTCGAGGTGTCGAAGGCGCCCAATTCGTCGGTTGATGGCCAAATTTGGCTGCTTAGGCGACGGAAAATATCTGCGAGGATGAAAAAGCATACAATAAATATTTTTTGCGAAATTGATGCTATTTAACCTATACATTAGTTCACACAATTTAACGTAATTTTATTACATTAATATTTAATGATAAACTAAAAGATTGCAATAAGGTTATCTTTCAAAAATGGCAAATCAAATATTGTCTTTTCAAAGGGAAAAACTACAGTTGAAGCAAAGCTTTGGCTTCATGAGGAATGTCCGGACCTTGCCCCAGGAAAACCTATTATCAAGGTTTGGTATGCTAAGTTAAGACGTGGTAAAATGAACACCGAAAACGGTTAATAGAGTGGACATGCAAAAGAGGTTATTAGCGATGAACACATCAAAAAAATCTACAAAATAATTTTGGCTGACTATAAAGTGAAGTTCGTCAAGATACCGGGCAGTCTTAAGATATCAGCTTAACGTGTATATCATATCATACACGAATATTAGGTGTGAGGAAGCTCTGCGAAAATTGCATGTAGCGCGTGCTTACTGTTGACCAAAAACAAGGACGAGTTGGTGATTCGAAACAGTGTTTGGAGATGTTCGGGCTGAATAAACCCGAGTTTTTGCGTTGATATGTGACAATGAAAGAAACATGGCTCCATTATTTCACTTCGAAGTCCAATCGACCGTCTTTCGAGTGGACGACACACGATGAATCCACTCCTAAGCGTAGAAAAATTCAACAGTCGGCTGACAATGACTACCTTGAAAAAAAATTTAATAGCGACTATTGCATAGTGATATTGAACCGTTTGAAGGACGAAATTGTCATCTCAAGTCAATGCAAACGATAGCAAATAGCCTTGAATTTCCTCAATCACCGTATTCTGCAGATATGTACATATGTCCTACAGCGACTATTTTCTGTTCTCAGCTCTCAAAAGAATGTATGCCGGGCAGATATTTTCGTCGAATGAAAAGGCGACTGCCTACACTGAATCCTATTTTGAAAATAGTATCTAAAAGTTGAAAGACCGCCATAATCAGTGTATCAACCTTGAAGAGGATGTTGAATAAAAAAACGAATTTTGCCAAAAAAATGTGTTTTACTATGGTAGACCGGAGACTTTTCAATTGAGCTCTTAGTACTATGTTAAATTGGGAAAACAGTGTTGAAAAAATAAACACAAAAGTTTGCACCAAACATGGCTCTTTCCTAGTTATATCTAAAAAAAATGCTTTGCACTAAATTTATTCGAAATTTTTTCAAAGTAGAGAAGAACTTCAGGAAAGTTGTTGACGAGTTTTAGTTAAGCTGTTGTATTTTCGCTGGTAGGCGCTGAGCGCGCGTATTTCTAGTTTTATTCGTCGCATCGGATCATGCTATACCTTTTTGGAAAGCTCATTTCACGCGCTAACAGGTGTTTGATGGATTGTCGTTTCTTCTAAGTTGTTCGTGAGTTGTAGCGTCGCAATCATGGAGCAAAATAAAGAGAAAATACGACATATTCTGGTGTAGAGGTGGTCGAAGATGCGCCACGCTCCGGAAGGCCTGCCGTCGAAAACTGCGATAAAATCGCTGAATTGGTCGAAAGAGACCGGCATAGTAGTAGCCGTAGCATCGGTCAAGAGCTGGGCATGAGCCATCAAAAAAAAATTTATGAACAATTGAAAATTGAAAAAATTCAATAAAAATACCGCAAGACTTTTTTGACAACCTATTATTATACACTGATTATGGAAAATATTTCGTTTTGAAAAATAAATCAAATAACCAATAATTATTCGAAAAAGTCCCAGTAGCTGACTAATCAAATATTTCCGTTTTAAAATAAATGTATGTATGTATGTAAAAAATTACCTCTTAATATTTACACAAACAACAGATTCTTCAATCTTATTTTATTTACCTCAATGAAGTGTTTTATTATGGTGGACAAACTTCACCCGCTCATACATCTGCAGTGCTCTCTAAACCGGATTTTGAAGATAGGAAAGTCATACTTTTGTATATAGTAAGACATTCTTTAATTATTCTAAAGCTTTGCTTGCTTGTTGATATTGTTTTTATTGTTGACTTTCAGAAGTATTTCCCCAATTTCATTGTTGGCGGATGTGGGGCAGTAGGATTGTCATGAATCAAAAGAATTTAAAGTGTTAAGCTAAAAAAATAAAGACATGCGTCTACGTATATATACTCGTACATAAGGGTAGGTGGGTAAAAATAATAAAATTGTAGAGAAGCTTCTTTGTGACCTTAATTCAAATAACAAATGCAACCACAAACTCAACACAATACAATACCTGAAGTAATGAGGAATTTGTTTTGAGTTTCAAATTGTTTTGAATTTCAAACAATACGCGTACCAAATTTTATTCATACTCGCAATGTTATTATAACTGTTATCACACATTTAGCATTGATATATCAAATTAAATAAAAGTCACTTGCTCATAAAACTTTTAAAAAATTTAAGGTAGCTATTTTACAGCTCAAATACCAATTACTATTTTATTAAGCAAATTTAGCCAAAAACCTCCAATTGAAGACTGAACATAGTTCGCTTCAAAGGTGATACACTGTTTATAGTGACCCTCCAACCATTCGATTATGTAGTATAATTTGACCTTTTCTTCAAAATGAGCTTCAGTTTCGGCAATCACCTCTCCATTCGTCGAAAATTTCTTCCCAGCGAGCATTCTTTTGAGAATTGAGAACAGAGAAAAGTCGATGAAGGACCAAATATGGAAAATACGGTAGATACGGAAGCAATTCGAAGCCAATTTTATGGCTGTTTGCAAACGATTTTAAATTCTTTAGAGCTTTACTGCTTGCCGGTTCATCCACCGATTATCAATTGATTGTGAACGCAGTCAGCATGAAGTATGTGACGCAAGTCAAATAATACCTAGGGCTGACCATGAAGGAAAGAATGTATTTTACTGAACACTTGGCCAATGTACAAGAGCGTATGACAAATACGACGCATTTTGAGGAGCGCTTGTCAGATGTAACTTATGAGTACATTCGGATTGTTTTTGTAGAGCCGGGTTAGAGGACTGGATGCATATAAATATAGTATATAGTTATAGCATGCCCGATGTACTCTGTCATTAGAGATCTGGGTGGTCTGTGGAATTAGCTCGACTGATAAACAATTACATGTTAGTGTTCTGATCTCCACTTGTCGGAATTCCGAACAGCTAGGGTCGTTTCAGCGTGAGTTTTTTTAAGCGGCGAAGGCGTTTAGCAGGAAATTTTATTTTTTATAAGTGGTGTGTGTATGCCAATCCTTAGCCACCAGTTTAACTCCCCTACGGAAGTGTCGTGGTAGTCGTGGTTAAAACCTAATGTTGGAAGAACTCACTCTTTGTCATGTGGAGCAGGCGTTTTAGATGGGTCTCGAACCATACCAAGGTGGTTCTCGGTTCATTCCACCAACGAACGCTGTTCGTCCCTCTGTTCGCCTGTACGCGAACTAGTTCCTCAGTTTTTCCTGTTTTTTCTATCCAAGAAGCTGGGACCACTATATCATTCGATTCGGAGTCACAGAACAGAACGGAGTAACAGAAGTTACCTTCTTTTTTTTTTTTTCAAACGGCAAGTGAACAATTTTGAAGCATTATAGCAGTCCACCCTATATTTCGTAGTCATATACATATGCACATACATATATATGAGGCATTGTTATAAATTTCATAGGAAATGGACTTTGCGTGCACATTTGCAAGCTTTTTTTGTCGTCTTTTTATTTGCATTGCGTGATTATTTGTTGTCTTTCCATGTCCAAGTTTCTATTCTTAGCCTTGTGCCTAATAGTCAACCGTATTCTTAAAGGTTACGAGGGCTTGCATTGTATGCTACGCTTATTTATTCTTATTTTTATTGTACTTCGTTTTCTATTTTTCAATTTCCAGTAGACGTCTTACAAAACACAATTGATTGTGCACGACAACGTATGGAAAATAAACTATTTAGGCTAATTTTCTACGGCATTTGGATGTTTGAAGGCTTCACCTAAGGTGGATACCGCATAATTGTTTATATATGTACATCTAAATACATAAGAGTATATACCACATACATGCATATGTATATGGTAATAAGAAAACCATGAACTAAAGAGACCAGCACTGAAACACTCAATTCTAGTCGTGCTTCCTCTTCTAAACAAATAGAGTGTGAATATATTGATCATTTCTTTCATAGCGACGACACTCTAGCACTTTCTAGAAATTAGAAAAGAAGCTTTGCGCAAGCACGAAATTGGACGTACTGATTATCGATTCCCGCTTAAGCTGCATTTTCCATAATTATACATTCCTACGAAGCCTACTAAGCCTGGAGGTCGGACTGTCGGAATAACTTTTATTATCGCATAATATACAGCTATTCTCGTATGTGACGAATGCGATCACAAATGTCGAATCGATTGGCTGCGACAACATCGATTTCTCAATACGAAAATGGAGGAAATTCATTGTCCAGCTCGTTTGTCTCGTTTGTTAGATTTTTTTTTTTTTTTTTTTAAAGGGTATTATATCGTTCGTCGTTTCCTGTGGTCTGCATCGACTACTTTGAGAAGGTTGAAACTAAGTCGAGTTCGTGAGCAATTTGACGCCGAATTCCAGAAAAAAGGCTCCAATCGGTGATCCTTCACTACAACTCAGCTCAGACCCGTGTCGTTGAAATGACCAGAAAAGTGTATTCTCAAGGTTTGGTACCGTGTTTCTTCAGTTTTTTTTTTTTTTTTTAAGTTAATCGGCAGGCAGAATTTTAGTCGCATGCATTGTTATTTTGTATATAAGATAGGTAGTAGACTTGACCGAAAATCTACGGTTCTGATTTAGATAAAAATTTTGTTACCCATAAACGGCTAAATGTGGATCTTCAGATCCTTATAAATTAACGAAGTGTTTCGAGCTTGCCATAAATTCATTAAGACAGTTAGTAATAACTCCAGCCACTTCCTTAGATTCGCCAAACGTATGCCTATTGCGATATTTCAATCGCAGTCTGACAGATCAGAAAGAAAACTAAAATTGATCGAAGCCGGTACAAATAATGAATATAACATTTTAATAATAATACTTCTTTTGCTACGCTTAATGACCTCATACGTATAAATTATTATATTTAAGCCTTAATTTAATTACAAAAATTTCCTCTTCATATTACTTTTAAACTCTTCAAACATATATGTATACATACCCTCAAAAGCATCGAAGAAACCCAAATTGAAGGAGAACGGCAACGGATGTGGCTGCAGGAATGGATAGCCCACACCAGTATCGATGACGCCCCTGAAATCTTTGAAATCAGGTTCCCCAGCTGAGCTTTCATCCGAATCGTCAGTTGAATGGCGACGCGGCACATTAATCACCTCCGCATCATCGCTTGGTGAGCCGGCTGCAAAGAGAAGGAGCATAGAAAAATCAATTAACGCCTGGAAATGCAAATGAAGCTAACACAGTACAGCTAATTAACTGCTCTAGCGGTAAAATTAGTATGTCTACATATGAAAACGGTCTACATCAATGCTCCTGTGCGAGCTTTATACCGAATTAATATTCAGCAGAAACGCGCAACATTTAATTTGCCACATGTCAGCGTATTCAAAAATTATTTAGCAAAATTTATCAAATCACCCGCCCAGCAATCCCCATATTTCCCCAGGGATGTACCGTTAACAAATTATGTAACACTCGCACGCTTGTGGCACATTTTGATGCCGCGAAAGTTAGGCGAACGTTCGCAAACAGTCGTCAGTTTACGAACCGTTACGCGTACCGCGCCGCTACGTCAGCGGTTTGTGCACTAAATTGTGCCGTCACTTAAATGTGAGCGATTTTTGTGTTGCCGCACCCACACCGAACTCTAATCACTGGCTTTTCCGCATCATCATTTCTATCAATTATTTTACGGTGGCCTCAGCTCCTCATTACCGCCTGATTTTAAATAATGTATGGGTATTTAGCAAAACCAAAAATTCCGCATAATTTCAAATGGCAAGGAAAGGCATACGCACCAATAATGTTTTGCGGCCCATGCATCCCCTTTTTTCGGTAGCCACACATGATGAAACCGCGATTGTTACGTGCAAACTCGGTTCATTCAAAACACTTTCAGGCGAGCTTCATTTGTTGAGGAATTATTATGTGGATTCATAAATCTTAAGTCTTCTGCTGTCAGCTAATAAAAACAATTACGCTGAAATCTAATGCAATTAGTTCGCTTGTTTTCAACAGTCTAATGTGGAGTTCTGCTTTTTACATGAGAACCAGACGAAATATATCCTGTCATCAAAAACAAAAAGGCATCACATTCACGACCTGGCTCCTCCACCACTTTTGGCAGTCATAACTTCAAAGTCGTCGATAATTTCGTCTAACTTGGTTCAGCCAACCAACAACGTTGGTAACTCTTGCCAATAGGTGCTATTTCGAACTGAGTCAGCAATTGAGAAGTAAAATTCTCTCTCGACGGCGTTATCAGTTTTCGAGAGAACTTTAGCTCTGAAAGTATAAGCCGCAGTATCCGCCGAGGGAAACACAGGAAGTGGAAGACCCCCACTGCGTTGGAAAGACCAGGTCAAAAAGGACCTGGCTTCGCTTGGGATCTCCACTTGATGCCTAATAGCGAAAAGGAAAAGTGACTTGCACTAGAGAAATGGATACGTATTCGAAGCAGATTGTGACTTTTAATTTCCTTTCATCGAACAGACGGGTTTGGATTTTAGGAATATTGTATAACTTAGCACAATATTTCTTTGAAATGAAAGCTCATATAAGAACTCACCCTACTTCTAACTCAAAGGTCCCTGGGTCGTCTCCTTCCTTCTCCTCTACCACAAAAGCATTCCGTCCGCCCTAGCATCTGTAGGAAGATCAGCCAGCCTCTTACAGCCATTGCTTATGGCCTCCCTAAACTTCTTGAGAAAACCGAGGGTGTCCGCATTGGGCAATATCAGCGCTTGTCTATAAGGTTCTGTGGTTCTTCCAAGCCGTAAAACTTATCAACGGTGCCTAGGGTGCGCACAATATCTTATAATCTCCTAAATTTCTTCTTAAGAGAAAAATTTGGCTAGAAGCCAGATCCGAGGACGAAAGCGCCGTGGAATATCCACTTTTTCTACCAACCCTCCGATCCGGCTGGTTTCCACATATCTCCTAAAAGAGACACTCCCTCTATGCAAAAAGTTACGGATCGTTTATCGAACCACCGTATGCGCTTATGAAACCCAATCCCCAAACACGGTCTTTTACCAAGAGCGATATTTCAGTCTAAAGTTGCCGCTGGATTGACATTTTCTCCATGTTGTGAAGTTCTACCAACTCGCGTCTTTTTTTTTTTTTTTTCTTTCCTTGTATGACAAATGTCTTTCAGGGATTGTTCCTACTGTTCTGATTACGAAGAGATCAGACAAGAAAACCTTCACTCATCATTTAGAAAAAAAAAAACAGTTCGAACAAATTTAATGGCACTCTAGCTTTAGCCAATCAAAAAGAAGGATTGACTTATTAAATTGTTCACAAAATTTTCAAACCAAAAGCTTTATAAAACGTCACTGGTTTAAGTTCAAAGTATATGCACTTAATTAAATAAATAGAAATATTGAAATATTATTTAGTAGCACTAAAATCTCCCATTCATATTCATAAATCTACATCGATTGCATTGTGTTCTGATAGTTTGTTAGTTAAATATTTCACAAATATGTGCATTATAACAAACTAAGCACCCAATTAAAATGGCATTGTGCGACACAGATAGCTTTTAAGTATTTATATACACACAATTTAGCAGAAAACAAACATTATTTCACAAATTATGAATTTCGTACACAATGCACTGCAAATAATTAATTAATTAAATATTGCATATTGCCACACATTGCCACATATTCAGGGGTATTAATGTGTTGACGAAATGTGTTTGGTAGACTTTGTTTACGCCCAAAATACATACTATTTTCAAATTTAATCACCCTGACAACGAAAATCAAAATATGAAAACTCACAAAAACCGGCACATGAAACAATAGAGACAACCGAAGTTAAACAGGTTATTATTTATGAGTTGATTGTGAAGGCCAGTAGAGAAATTTTCAGTTATATATTTGTCGCGTTGAAATATAATATGTTAAGATCTGAATAAATGAAACCCAAAGCCTGTTCGACTCGCCGCTCCAAACCAAATAATAATAAACAGGAAATCGGCTTTTCTTTCAAACTACTTGTATTGCATGTAAAGGCTTTCAACTCGTATAATCACTTACTGTTTCAGCTATTTTTTACTCTAAACTACTTGATTTATACCAGTCGAATGTTCGAACCAGCACTTTCTGAATAATTTTTTAAACTTTATGGTGCTCGTTTAACTCGAGTTCGACTATTTGAATTGCATCTAAAGGTTTTCAACTCGTATAATCAGTTACTGTTTCAGCTATTTTTTACTCTAAACTACTTGATTTATACCAGTTGAATGTTCGAACCAACACTTTCTGAAAATTTTTTAAACTTTATGGTGCTCGCTTAACTCGAGTTCGGCTCTGTTTTCAACGTCTTAAGACACATATAACATGTTTTCCTTGTACAGCTACTTTTTATACCAAATTATATGGCAAAAAATTGCACATTTTTTATATAATTTTATCTTAAAACTATAACCGAATCTTAAATATTTTATTTGTATAGTCTCTTTTCATTCCACATCCATTTTCTAAACCCAGTCATTCGATTTATACCAGCTGGTTGTTCGAATCGCCACTCTTCAAGATTTGGAAAATCGAGCACAGTTTCGTTTCCGTTATCACATTGTTATAATTTCCTCACTGGATATGCCCACACATTCACGGCATATTGTCCTAACTAAATATTCATGTAAATATAATATTTAAACCTTATTCAATACCAGTGTTTTATATATGCATATAACTATATTTTAAATACTCTCTGTTTGTCCTATAAATATTGACACTTCTCATTAGAGGAAGAACATGTTATACTGCTGAAATGGAAGCACTATAACATTACGAACGTGTTTAGCTTTTTTGCTAATAAAGTGCACATAAAGTGAGGCTGGGAAAATGGACCTTTTATTTTATGGAATCATTTGGAACAAATATGAATATTTCTTCATTAAAAGTAAGCAGGTTTAAGTACCATGACAGGTACATCTTAGTCATGAGTTAGATATCAGAAAAAATTAATTTTTAGAATTAAAAGATTGCCACCAAAGTAGTAGTAAGCAACATTACTACTGATGTTCCAGAACCCAATATGATTGCGCACAGAATACTTTGTAAAACTAAATAGAAAATCGGTCACTTGTCGTGAATAGAACGGTAATTTTCATTTATCAATTGTTATCCAGCAGTGTCTAATTCTCTTCTCACAACATTTGACAAGTAAAGACAACAGCAAAGTCCTCCAGCTGAATACTAGTATTGCTGATTTATGCCTGTTACTTGTTGCGCTACTTTACTGATTGGTCGAATCGAAGACAGCTAGCATATATATATAGGATTTTAAGGTTTCACACAATACGTGAGCTATAGAAATTTTAATTTTAATGGAGACCTGAGCGATCTGGTTGGTGGCTTTGACATCCGGAGACAGCCAGGTAGCTTGATGAATTTTCTTACCCGGGGACCTAGTATTGCAGATAACCCTATTTTGGACCCCCGCAATGTCGAACAACCTCAACCCATTTGGCGATGTTTCATCACAGAGGTTGCTATCAAGTGCTCATAGAAGGCGTCTTTGGTCACATCGTCAGCGATATGTTGAAGGATTTTGCTTTGAAGGTTATTGGACTAGACGTTCATCCACCGGGGTGAATGCCAGTACTCGGCAACATAGTCTTTCTGCCACCACGAACTCCTGACCGAAGTTGAGCTGCTTTAAATGACCACTGTAGTAAATACTACAAGGACCTATTCGTTTCTGTCTTTGTTTAGTCCATTTCACTTCCAGGACGATGGTGATGTCAGTCTTTACTCTTACGAAGACATCAGTGGTCGTCCTCAGAAGGAGGTCTCTCATCCGAGGCAGTTTTCGTGTTTTCATTGGAGACGTTTTTTACGTGGCGGATCTCAAACCCAGCGCACAACCCAAGAGAGGGATGGTCCGCGTTCTCACTTTAGCTCGCCTTCAAGTTGAGCAACCCAGAGGTTGCTCGGTCTGTGTTCGAAAGTCATGAGCTATTTGAAACATATGTAAAAAAAGTTTCTGGCCACTCTCAAGTGAATGGCGCTCAGAGAACTTTCCTCACTTGCGTGAACTTCTACATATATGACTCATATATCAGAATATATCGGCCAATATTTGAGTTATCTCAATGAAAACTACAAAACATGTTTTACTCATGACATTGCGCCTAAAATAGATGAAGTCGGCCGCGAAACT